CTTTGTACCATAAAAATAAATAAATAGTAAAAAAAAAATAGTAGTATTATCCCCAATACGCCATTAATTAAACACGTGTTAATAATATACTCCCTTCGTCCATGTATAATTATCACATTGTGCTAAATCCTAGCTAGCGGACTTACATTCATTTCTCCTAGCCCTAAACCTGATAAGTCGATAACTACATACTAGCCTGTTAGACGCAACAGCGTGAGAAACGTAGATGAGGCACAAAGAGGACTCCTCAACAGCTAAGAGAGAAACTAACGCTAACCTTTCCACTATAGTACAAGTGACAAAAAACCAAAAACCAAGAACGAAAGAGATGGAACAGAAATAGCATTTGATGGTCTGTGCATAAGCAACACTTGCAAGAGATCAAATAAATTTAACCCAAGTACACAAAAGGATCCACCAAAATAAGAGAACAGGAAGTTGACAAGCACTCCCTCTCGCATTTTACAACTCATGTTGACAGCCATTTATACGCCCACCATAATTTGTGAATAGTTTTAAAATCTTCACACTATAGCAAAAACAAAATATATCCACATAAAAAGTTCTGAATAACATCTTGCAATTCATACTTGTAGTTTCCCTTTTGAAAATCACTTTTTTTTCCCCAAAAGTTGCAAATTTATTACAATGATTCTCTCATATTCTCTAGAGGTGTCAAACACTCACTCCACTAAACTAGACTTGACTTAATCCGAATCGAACTTTGATCCACATAAACACAATCATCTAGCATGACTCAAACCGACTAAACCTAGCCTGACTAGACCTAACCTGAACCCCAACTGGTGACCCCAAGGCACCTCTTCTAATCACATGAGACCCCTTTTTTTCTCTCTCATCTTAAAATACCGTGTATTCCCTAAGTAGTAATTAAAAAGGAACGGAGAAAGTAAATAAAAGAAGCCAAAGGGGTAAAAAGAATTTTGATGCATTCAAGTAAAATAATGTGAAAACATATCATGGGACAATAAATAAATTAATGAAACACATGTTGCTAGTGGGCAGGCCGGAGAGAGAGAAGAATCTTCAAACTGTCAGTGGCCAACTGTTATAATCGAATTTAATGCCAAGCTGCTAGCTTCCTTCCTCCTATACTAAGGAGAGATATTTGAAGGGAAACAAATTTTAATTATTAAACAATTAAAAAAAAAATTTAAAAGAGGGTACAAATTAAGGCTTAGAAACAAAAATTAATAATTAATCTGTAAAATTAAGTTCATTTTCCCACAGGTGCTATTCTGTCAATCCCACGGTCTTCATTTAGTCATTATTCAACCATTGGTGTAAAATGTACTTAAATTTTATGGTTTAAAATTCCTGGTTGTATTATACAGTAGTATTCTTTCTATTTGAAATTAATTATCAGAAATTCCAACTTTTCAACCAAGATTACAATGTAATTCACAAAGAGTCACATTAATTACTTAAGAAGTCACATATTGGGTACCTTAATCGTGACGGGAACCTAAAATAGTACCCTAGACGGAGTAACTATGTGACCGTGATTACAGACGAAGGTAAGTAAAAAGATAGATGTCCCAGTGCAGTTTATACCAGTGCAAACTGCACTTGACATTATTGAACTAGACCCAGTACATAAGACTATAAACTTTGGTGTAATATAGAAATTTCTGGTCTTGCTTCAAATAAGACAAATAATCAGATACCAAAGCTCACAAAGGGCAGGAAATCAGCAAGTGCTTTCAGTGTTTGGTGGTTAGGAATGTCAAACCATCTAGCATTAAATTTCTAATACTTTATTTAAGAGTCATATACTGGGACACATATTATAATTAAGGTACAGGATTTATTAAATAACGATATTAAATATAATCTTATGACTTAATTAGTTGAACTGGTTTTAATTTGTAAATAAATATATAGATTTAAAAAGTTGCAGTCAATCTGGCATGTTAGCCCTGTAGTTAACACTCTAGACACAAATAGCATCCTTTAATTAATCAATTTGCTAATTCTCATTTGTCGTTGCATAACTTAACCAAATTAAACTAAACAAATACTTTGTATATTTTATTGTACAAACATGTGAGTTTTCTTAATTTTAAATTTTGAGATTGTCAAACTAAAATTCAAGTGTCATTATTAGCAGAGATTTATGCAGTAGCAAGCTATAAAATCATTTCCTAATGCCCACCTAAAGTCTTATGAATCAACTAACAAATAAAATAAATTATTCTCCTTATGAAAATAATACTGACATACACTATTTTGGATTTATTCGTAAAATTTAACATACGGCCTAAAATAAAATGATCTTAACTAAAATGAGAGGAGGATAGGAAGGATACAACTATCATAAAAGGATATTCATTTAAAAATTGAAATCATACACTAGTAAATTAATTTCGGACGGAACAATTTAATTTCATAATAATGGTTAATAGGCTTGTAATACAGATGCTAGAATGAAAAAAAAGGTTTGGTCCCCAAGGCTAAAAACCTTGATTAGAGAACGTGAGTAAACTAATCTAGTCCCTACCCTTTAATACACCATAAATGATCAACCAAGTCAAATTTCTTATTAAAAATCTGATTGTTACTTACACTATTTCATTGAATCTTGAATGTACTAGATAGCTAAGTTGACGAGACCCTGAATTTTACATCTATGATTGTCTCTAGTGTACATAATCATTTTTTAATTACTCTGAATTACTAATTACTTCATAAGCATGACTAATCGCTCATGAATGAAGCATTATATAATACATCAACAAATAATTACATTTTTTTAACCCTAGCCGGACTGCCGAACACACATTTAACATGACAGCCATAAAACAACAACCGTTTACCCTAACCCTCCCAGAATCCCTAAATAGAGTGATAAAATGATTTTACCACCTCAATCATTCATGACTGTTAAAAGACAATCATATACATTATATCCTATACACAAACCATTTAACAAGAACAACTTACATATTACTCCCTATTCTATTACCCAAGAAGATAGTAACAATTTCGAAAACTAAGATAAGTGTACTACAGACTTGCTTATAACTACTTTCATTTGCATAATTCCAATATAAATGTAGTCACATAACGATAAACTTCTACGAAGTACTATATTCTAAGACGACCAATTTTTAAAATCTATATCAACTTTACGAAATAAATGGTCTTTAAGGGAAATTATGATATATCTTTAATTGCGAAAGTTAACTTTACAGCATTATTTTTCAGACACTTGAACAATGCTTCTAATGAACATGTACTTAATTGCATTAATTAAAGCTTTCAATCGTTCACTACACTCCAAAGCACTGTTGCACAAAGCTAGAGGCAGATCCAAGTACAAAAAAAATTAATACTAGTAATATATAACTATCCATAAACAAAAATATACTTAATAATACATAAACAGCCATATAGATGTTTGGAAAAAAAAAAAGTAGCTGCAATTTCAAAAATTAAAAAACAATCCTTGTTTGAAATCATAAATACCTCTAATGAAATTAATGGAGCAGATGAGAAACAAAAATCAGTAATTATATATATTCTTGTCTTTTAATGATTAGAAATAATATGAAAATTATTTTTGGACAGGAAAAACCGATAACATTATGATTTTGCAGATGCTCAGAATCTAATACTTAAGCAAATGTGTATAATATAGTCAATCCAAAAAGTACTTGCTTATTTGCTATAATATGATAGCAGTCCTTCCTGACATTGATAGTAGCTTAGTTATGGCAAATTTAAATCAGCTAAGATTTATTAAAATATTGTACTATGAAAATATGTAAATACTAAACATGTTGGGTATTAAACACATTGTAAACAGACAAAAATACCCTTGAAGCAAAAAAGACAGTAATGAAGCAATAATAGGTTTTTAAAAAAATAATAATAATAAAATAAACTTACGAGTGCTAGATGAAATTTTGCCTAGTTCTAAATTTCTAATAATAAAATCAGCAGAATCAAAATTAAAAATATAAATACTAGTATATAATTTATATAAGAAAGAATATAAAAGATGTCTACACTTTGTAAATTAACCTGTGCCAATTTCTACATTGCCATATAGAATCTATAATCAGATTTTGACGTTATTATCAATTCTCTCATTTTCTTGCATTGTTTGATTGGGTTCTACATACTGACTTCACAATTACTACAAGCTAAACTAAGATTTCCTTATCAGGCCTCAAATGTCATTATCAGCTCTAGTGAATCCACTGGGCTGAGCAGGTACGTAAGCATGAATTTGGCACGGCCAAGCATAAGGCGCAAAGATGTTAGCCACGGGGCTTGGGCTGAGTCTAGACCAAGGATTTGGGGAAGTGACAGCATGGCCCACTGTCATTCATGCTCTTAAGTCTCAAGCAACCTAATGGTAATCAGCTCTGATGCAATCTCCTTGAGCAACACAATAATTAGGATAACATTATTGAGCTTCATCGCCTAAATACTAGAACAATTCAGCGGAGCCTACTTTCAATAGTCTAGACAACATTAGTAAATTTCTAGATGGGCTCCAAGACACAACATATCAAACAACTTAAATCAAATCCAATGTGAAAGCAGAGATTTGCTGCCAGGCAAAAGCATCTATCCCCATATGATTCACGAATCCTAAGTCACATTGTAAGTACAACTCAATGCAACAGTTCTTTCAAACTTCTCACAGCTGAAAATGCCGCATCCACTAAGCTGATTATTAACTAGGGGCACGTGGTTTACAACTTTACATCACTGCTTTTAGGAGTATATTTTGTTCACGTTTGTTATAATCCTTACCTTGGGATCACAACATTTGATATTGATAGAAGTGGGTATATGTCCAGGGGTAGGGCTAGGCTATACTATAAAAACCATCTATGTTTATGGTCCTAAATGAAGTGTCAAAGTTCCAAACCCATGTCTGAACCAGTACTCTAACTAGCTTGCAAAGAAACAACTCAGAAAAAAGCTACTCAAATTGATCCATCAAAACAAGGTAAATAGTTAAATGGAAAGAAAATTACTGACTTCTTCAATAAACATTATTCGCAAGAGGTTTAATCCATAAAGAAAAGCAGTGGAAGCTCAAAAATATAATTTGGCTTGACATTTGGTAAAGTCTCTATCTTCAAATGACATTTGTTGTGCCAAATTGGACTGTATACATAAATGCTCACTACCTAATAGCTTGTCAGAATATATTTCTAAGCTAAAATTTAATTTTCATAGTAAACAATAACATCAAAAGGCCATATAAAAGATACCTTAGTACAACTAGAATAGAAGAAAAGAAAGAGCTCCTTTACTTGCAGAAGGGAGCACCCAGTTGACTAGTCTGCTTCTAGATGGGACTGACATAGTTGGCAAATCTACCTGTTAGGAATAAAATACAGCCATTTTAATTAAAGTTGGCAAGTCAATATAATATATTGGTGATAGTACATTAAACACTTCCAGTAATGCAAAACTCTAAAAAGAAGAGATAATGTGCATGCAAACGAAGCTAAAGTAGCCATGCTACAATAAACTGGTGTTCAAACAGTGAAAGGGGTATAGCAATGTCCAATTGCACACTATAGCACTTACTGAGAGTAAATATTAGAGTAAATATTAAATGGATTTCAACTAGCTTAATTAGTTAAAAGTCTTAGGGGGTGATAATACCGCCTACATTAGTTGCTTGTGGTTCTCTCCACACCACAAAAAATAAAAATAAAAATCCAAAATCTATAGTAATTTCAACACCTAATTCCCAATATTATCCTGGATAGTATGGCACTGATATAACAAAGCATTTACTTCCTCATAAAACATCTTAGGCAGAAGCTGTGATTAAACACAAGGCCAGAAAATAAGCAATATCACTGCCAAAGTAAAACACTTTAAATCTTGCCATTCGTAATGTTAAATGGTCGTGAGCTTGCTGGTGTTGAAAGAAAGATGGTACAGTTTCAAACATCGCGTTGCGAGGTTGTAATACCAGGCAAAAATATGGACCCAACTTGAGATTATATCAGCACTAAGACTACTAAGTATTCTGTAGTCCTGTAAACTTGTAGGTTCTTCCACTGACAGCCACAGATGATAAATCTTGTAAAACCAACAGATTCAAAAGTGTCAATCTCAATTTCAAAGAAAGTGTTGGGGCTTTTTTTCTATTCCAGACTAGATTTCAATATATGGACAAGTAGCAGAACACAAATTCATGTGAGCTACTGATAATACATTCGTCATCTTAGTTCTAGTATGTTATTCAAAACTAACAAAGCTGTTTCACACGCACACACGCAAACGCACGCGCGCACGCACGCACACACACACACACAACACACACACACTACACACACACACTACACACACACACACACACACACACACACACAACACACAACACACAACACACACACACACACACACAAACACACACACACACACACACACACACACACACACACACACACACACACACAAGCCAATGTGGTACAGGAAGACAGGGCAGGGTGGTAATCTGAGAGGCTGGTAACTCTAAGCATCAATCTGCAAGGTAGGCATACTTCTTAAATCTTAATAAGTTGATAATAGCCTGAAAGAAAAAGGTTGTTAGTTAGTTAGGGAAAGGCAGAGAAGTTGTGTTGAATATTGATGAGAATGTGTTTAGCGACTAGCTTGTTATTTGAGAGAGAATCAAGCCTCTTGAAAGCTTGAATACTTCGTATTGTTCTGCAATTACAGTTTATTAAACAAAATCATCTTCCTCTTCCCTTCAATTCTTTCATTAATGATGGCCAAGCTAAGATAAATTTTAGCAACGGTTCTGGATGAAGTAACCAGACCAATTCAAGATGAGGTTCCATGGTGTATGTTGTTTGCGGATGAAATCATTTTGGTAGATTGGAGCAATGGAGGCAAAGGTTGGAATCTAGAGGGTTAAAGCTAAGTTTGAGTAAGACTGAATATTTGGTTTGTTTCTTTGGTGCTTTGGTACTCAGAGGGGACAAGCGATGATGTGGTGAGTTTGGATGGAAAGGACTTGACCGTGAGTGAATGTTTAAAATATCTTGGGTCGATCATCCAGAAAAATGATGACATTGATCAAGACGTGGCCTACATGATTAAGTTGGAGTGGCTTAAATGGAGAGCGGCCACGGGAGTGTTATGTGACCGAAACATTCCCTTATAGTTGAAGGGAAAATTCTACAGGACTGCCATAAGACTAGTGTTGCTCTGCTCTATGGTACTGAGTGTTAGGGCTTCTAAGAAGGAGCACATTAAAAAGATGGAGGTTATAGAAATGCACATGTTATGCACATGTTAAGGTGGATGTGCAGGAACACTCTAAGAGATAGGATAAAAAATGAGTTTATTCGCAAGAAAGTAGGCGTGGTAGGCATTGCAGAAAAACTAAGGAAAAATCGTCTACGTTGGTTTGGGCATCTAAGGCGGAGGGAGACCTGATGGTGCATCGGTACGAAGAGTGGAAGAGTGGGACCATGAAGAGGTTAAACGAGGGAGAAGGAGACCGAAAGTGACTTAGTTGGAAGGAGTTAGGAAGGATATGAAGTATATGGATTTGCATGAGGATGAGGCATTGGATCGTAAGGAATGGAGGAGGAAGAATTTTGTCGATGACTACACGGAAAAATCACTATTGGTTCATGTAGCCAACCCTACTTATGGGATTAAGGCTTTGTTTGATTGATTGACCTCAACATAAATGAGAAAAATTAAGGACAAACCAGTGATCCCAATTTTCAATCAAATAGATAGTTAGATGAGACCTAAATGCAATAGCATCTTTCCATAAAGGACAGGTATTATGGCTTTGCATCGTAATCAGATAAATAGAGCATGAAAGCTTTTACTCATTAAATAACAGAGTACAACTCTTAATGTACATAACAGGATTATCAAACTGACTGAGACGAAGGTATGACTGCGTGACTGTATGACTACATGATGGAAAGTCACAATTACAAATATGCAAATCTTTCAAAACCTACACCATGCTTGGACAAAAAGATGAGTACATATCTTCCCTTATTTGGACAAGGAAGGGAAAGGAAATAAAGGGATCCATACCCTTTTTAATAAACCAAATCCGTTCATTGTTGGAGAGATTTGAAAAGAAAATGGAAAGTTAGTATTTCCGTTCCCTAGTTTCCTAACCCCACCCCACAATTTCTTTTTCCTCTTTTTCTTTCCCTTCACTTTCTCTTCATTATTGTTTCCCAAATATAGTGTTAAGCACACCCAAAAAATTGCAACCAGTGGATGCATGTAGCCGTGACCAGCTGCTCCAACTAAGATTAGGTAACTCTCCCTTCATAATCCCGCCACAGCATTAAAAAAAAATGGAACTTAGAGTGTTCTAGGGCTTAGTATTAAGCTATAAACTTGGGAAAGATCCCCAACAGGCACAGTAGGATTCCTTTACACAGCCAAACAGAAAAGGAAAAAAAAAAAAAAAAAAAAAAAAGATAATCACCCAAGATCCAAAGCTGTGAATCACAAAACTTGTGAATGGAGTGGACAATAAAACGAGAAAATAACAGAGGTACTGTTATAAAAAGAGAAAATAACAAAGGTGAATCACAAAGCTATGATTTTTTTATGAATCAGTAAATAGCATATATGATGAAAGTGTTTGAGAAAGAAAAAAAAATAGTCACTTTGCACAACAGATAAAGGATCTGTTTGGTTGGGGTCTTTGATTAAGAGAAAAGGAACTGCTCTTTAACCTCTTGCTGTTTGCTCACGTTTTTCATATTTGTTTCCGTTCTCCAGTTTCCATGAACAGAGTTGCCCGTTACCCCAAATACCTTATTGTTGATTTTCCCACCATTCCCGGGGACATGGACACCCCAAATTTAATTTTTGCTTACACACTATACTGTCACATATTACCACAATGCCAAAGCCACTGAAATACCAAGTGCACAGTCATCCGGAGGAACTGCCATCCAAATTCCCACCATGACACCTTTTGTTAGCAATCCCAACCTAAAAAACCCTCTTCCCAGTCCCAGAACACCAAGGACCAAGCAACATCACTACATTCCCTCCACACGAAACCCCCCACTCTCACCACTTGCGTGTCTTCTAGGAATACACTTAGACAGCAATTCACACCTCACGTCCTCAACACCATTGCATCCAACCAAGACCTGGAACAGAATAGAGGGCAACAATCAACGAACCTTTATATTGTGTCAATGATGGCTTAGATTTAGCCACTTGATAGTCAGACTTGGCCGCCAAATATTGGAACTTTTGTCCATCTCCAACCACCAAAGATCGGAATTTAGACCATTCATCATATCAGTGGCTTGTATAGTTAAAATCTGAGAGGTTATTGTCCAAGCTACGAGATGGAGAGTGATTAAACATGAGATGGAGCTGGGGCAGGAGAGAAGAAAGTGGTAAAAGAGAGAAGGAGCAATTGAGCTTAAGCATGATGATACAAGATTGGGATGGAGAAGCAATGGCAACTAAAGGAATTGGAGGTGATGAGATTGTTGATGCTAAAGGGTAGCTGGTGATGAGAGGATAGGTATATTTATTTTTACCAATATTTGACAACCAAACAAACACAAATGAAGATTAAATCCAATCCTTCTGCCTACCAACAAAAAAGAAAACAGAATTGTTTTCTAGTTCTTTTCCTTGATTTCTATCATGAATTAAACAGAACATCAACATTTCCCTCTACAGCTTTAATGGGACATAATGGAGGATATACATTCGCCTGAAGTTTTGTGCATTGGAGAAAATAATTGAGTAGTGCTTATAGCAATTAGCAGAAAAAATAAAAATGGTTTAATAACATCCTGCCTATAAAGAAGGAACCTTCCATTCTTCCATACACAAGAAACAGATGATCACCATCAAAGAGTTGCAATCTTGACACTGTGTGAAACTAAGACACCGTCTATGTCTGACAAAGGGTATTCCTAATTGTACACAAATGGACCTTTTTTCTCATGTCAGAGATGCCTTACATATAGCCACCTGGTGGTCAGACTTATTCTGAAACTTTTGGCCATCTCCAACCACCAAAAATTGGAATATAGACCAATTCATCACATCAATGGCCTGTATAGTTGAAATTTGAGCAGTTATTGTCCAAGGTAGAGGTGGCAAATGGTGACAATATGAGATGGGCGTGTTGATGCAATAATGGAGAGGAGGTGGAAGAGAATAAAGTGGTGGAGCTGTGGAAGAGAGGAAAGGAGAAATTGAGCTTCGGCATGGTGATATAAGATTGAGAACAAGAGATGGAGAAGTAATGGCAATGAGAGAAATTGATGGCGGGAGGTTGTTGAGACCACAAAATGGTGATTAAATCCAATCCTTTTGCGACCAATAAAAAAGATAACAGAAGTTCTAGTTCTTTCCTTCTGTTTCTTTAAATTGAACTATAAGGAAGATCAACATTTTCACTCTATACACCAATGACGCATAATGAAGAATATACATTTGTGTGAAATTATATACATTGGGAGTAGTAGGAGTAGTAGTGATTCGAACAATCTACAATATAGTTAAGATGGTTTGATAACTTCCCGCCTACACAGAAAAAAGCACCTTCCATACACATTTTAAATAGATAAGCATCATCAAAGACTTGGCAATTTTGGTACTATGCGCAGCTAAGTCACTGCCTTCTATCTGCGATAAAAAGGCATTCCTATATGTATGCAAATGTCACTGAGGACATGATAATTACTCCCTCCATTTTAATTCAAGATTTCATTTAAACATAATTAAGGGTGCAGAAAATGATGAGAACTATTAACTAACTAAATTCAATCCTCAAAAACTGCTTAATAGGTTGCTCAATGCTACTCGGAGCTATATGAATTCAATGTCACATTCCCTATTAAATACTCATTTTTCCATATTTTCCTTCCCTAAATCAATACAACATTACAACCCGAGTGTTACCGGTCATAAACCTAGTCAATACAATACACCCGAAAACTTACCGAAACTTCATTCAGCCAAATTCACTACAATCACCAATGTACTTAATCAATAATCACTAAATCATAATCAAAACAATCAATTAACCAGAATGCTAGATCCAATCACTGAAAAACGACATCAACGAAATCGAATACCGATACAAATGACTTACATTCAGCAGAGGAATCAAGTCCATCAGGAAGCCTGGAAACAAGGCAAGCCGAAGCAATGGCGCTATAAGCAGGAATAAGCGAGCATAATTCACGGCGAACTCTAACAAAGAAAATATCATACAATGTCAGAATTCAATGGAATTGGAGAGAGAAAGTTAGAGAGAGATTGAGAGGAGTACCTGAATGAAGAAGGAAAGGGGGAAGGGGAGATTGGAGTACGACGAAGGAAGATTGGAGGAGATGAATTAATGGAGAATCGAGGAAAAGAAGAAGATGGAATTGAAAATGGAGTTTTCTTCTTGCAAATTGTGCGTATGAATGTAGATCTTCCGCCGATTGAAGCTGCTGCCATTGTTGTTTGCTTAGCAGATGTATGCTTGACCGCAAAACCCTCTACTAAACCCCTCTTCTTCTTTTTTGTGATTTTTATTCTTTAACCTTTTTTTTTATTATTTTTTATTTTTTATTTTTTTGGAATGGTACAAGTACAACCAAGAGAAACACAAGAACTAGGTTCTATTCTAACCCCTTTTTTTTTGAACAGGAAGTAATAATATCATTAAATAATAGTCATACGGCATCTACAATAATAACGATTTGTACCCGTAAAAAAATAAAGATTTGTAAACCACAGATTTAGAGAATATATCATAACTTTTAGGAAAATTTGATGATTATCACCAACTATTGTTGCAAAAATTGAAAATACCACCTCAAGTTTTAAAAAAAAAAATTACCACCTAGTTTTTTCCAAAAGTAAATTAATCAATTCATAAACCCTAATTTTTTGAATTGAGTAAAAACCCCCCAATTGATTACCCAAACCCTAATTAAACTACTTAATTTGTTTCGTTGTAGGTTAGATTGTAGCAACTATAACCTAACTAGATGAAGCCCGTGCGATGCACGGTTTGTTTGATTTTTTTTAAATAATGTTTTTTTTTGTATTTATGAGCCTAAAATTTGTTATATATTTAGATAAAATTCCTAATATTAAAAGATAATATATAATATTTAATTAATTTAAACTTAAAAATTTCATTCGCCAATTTTGCTTACATGGCATTTAAATTATTTAATTCTAAAAGAAATTAATAATCTCTTATTTAATTGGCTACTACTAAGATTTATAATCCTACATGGCGCGGTGAGAAAATTAGATCATACGTGGTTCTCTAAAAACTCGGGAAAAAACTCCCCTTTATATATATATATTAGATTTGCGAAATTTTTGTATTTGAAATCAAATTTAAAGATGAAATTGGAAGGAAATCGTGGGAAGAAAGAGGGAAAACAAGGGAAGAGAGAGGGAAAATGGAAGTGTGCGCCCATGATGACGTCATGTCACACAAAAAGTGGGAATTTGAAAACTTTTGGAAAAAACTAGGTGGTAAAATTTAAAAAAAAAATTAATAAATAAATAAAAAACTTGAGGTAGTATCTTTAATTTTGGCAACAATAGTTAGTGGTAATTTTCAAATTTTCCTAACTTTTATAATCAAAATCATAACTAATTTGCATATTTGGCATAGCTCATACTCCACCGCTTCAAGCTTGATGCGAGCAATGATTTTCGATATCTATGCATCTTTTCAAGTTGAGACCTCCGCAATCTGCGCTGATATTTTGATCAACCAGTTGATGACAAATCTCATACCCATAGGAATCCAAATCACCTTCCCAATTATTATAAGAACCCTAAAATTAAAATTCTCATCCATAGATGAAAATCAAAATCCAAGAAAATTGGGACAGACTCTCGCAGATGGAGAGAACAAAACAAAACAAAATGTAAAGCAAAACAAAAATCTAAATCAAATTAAAGAAAAAGGGTCGGAAATAATCTAATTTCCGAAGATTGTGAGCAAATTTGAAGCGGAAATGGTACACATAGACATAGTCTATGCATACCAGGGTCGTAGCAATGATTTTAGGGGCTCTGTTCCAAATCGAAAAAAGGGCCCTTAATAATGTGAAAATTATATAAAAAAAAATAAAATTATCTAGAACTATTTTTTTATCTAGAATTTCGACCTTCAAAAAAAATTGCTTAGATACAAAGTAGTATAAACAAATCAAAGTGTATACAATTCATCAATAATTATGACTATTATGTAATTAATAGATTATCAAAATAGATTTACCTTTAAACGATTATCAATTCATTATCAAAACAGATTTACCTTTAAAATACTATTAAAAATTAACAGATTATGTAATTAACATATCATCAAAATAGATTTACCTTTAAACGATTATTAACAGATTTTCAATAGTATAAACAGATCAACTTGTGTATAAAATACAATTAAAAATTGCTTCAATTCATTATCAAAACCAGAAAAAAAAAATTTTAAAAAAAACAAAAACTGATTTACATCTAAACGATTCGATGAGCACAGAGCAAAGAATTGAAATTGCTTCAAGCCTTCAATTCGTTTTTTAGTTTGTATCATGAGGATGACTGAAAATTGATGGAAGATAACCCATATGTATAGTAAAATAATTATCATTTGATAACAATAATTGTGGAAGATCGAAATTGATTTCTCATTGCCATTGTTATGGAACAAAAATAGGTTGAATTTGACTCTGATACCATGTTAAAATTAGGGTCATTATGTTTAACAATATGTTAATTGTGCAGGTATAGACTTTGGTCCACAATAATTACAATTATATATCATTCCAAAAATTTCATATCGATCTTTTATGTTAAAAAAATAATATTAATGTAAAGATACCTATTCCTCCCAAAATCAATATAATATTTTACAACTACAAATAGAAAACAACTTGTTTTTTGTGTGGTTGGCTAATACACACCAAAACACCAATCAAATAACCCCTGATCGAGCAACCCATGACTGAGTAACCCCTGACCGACCAAGTAGCCCCTAATCAAGTAATTCTGGCTACATGGTGTGGCCAGCTACATATAAAACTTTGTGTTATTAATCTGAGCAATTTTTGCACACAAATAAAGAAGATTTCGAACACAATAACCGAGACAATAATTACAATGTAAAGTAGAATCCATTGGACAACTCTGAGTTATTACAGAATTTATGGTGCGTTTGGCTCACCTTTATTAATTAAATAAGTTTTAGGTCTATTTAGTTTAAATAAATTCCGATAGGATTTTATCAAATTTAATGAGTTTAATAACTTTTAATAAATTATAGTCGAGTCAAAGAAGGTTTAATAAAGTTCCATTAAAGTTTCAGTCTTGTCTAAAAAGCTCCATTCAAGTCTAATATGATTATATATAAATGATATTTGTATCATTAGTAGTTTATTTTATGATTACAATATTGTTTTTTATTATTAGAAAATTTTATTACAAAAAACCTATTATTGTAACTTTTTGTCAGAAAAACCTTAAAAATATATTTTTTGAGTTAAAACCTAATTGTAAATTTTTTTAGACGAAGACAACCAATAAGTACTAATTCACTCAATTACCCTCTAATTTCCCATATATTTTCTACCTTTAACTTAATTAAATATTTAACAATTAAATTAATTTATAAATAAAAAAAACCACAATCACCTCCACTAGCCAATTACCCCCTCTCCACGAGCATCCCCTCTCCACGAGCATCTCTTCTCCCCCACTCGAGTCACCACTCCAAACCCCCCACCCATAACCCATCTCCACCATCGACTGACCCCCCTCCCTCTCCTCCTCACACCCCATTACAACTTGTGGGGCGTGTGCTATTTGGAGATCTGCAGATCTACCTTTTCCTCCTCACTCTCCTTTAGAAACTTCATAAAGATCATATAATAATAACACATTGTCCTTTTCAATACAAATTGCCATTAAGATTATCCATTAAGATATAAATTCTCTACAATTATCACAAAACATTTGATAGCTTATGCAGCTCATATAAATATATTTCTTAATAATACCAAATATCATACAATTATACCAACATTAATCAAATTGATGCTACAAAAATTCGTGTGACACTAACATAATTGCAACACATTTTATAAAAAATATTTTGCTAAGCCAAAATACATTAATCTAGATTTGACCAACCATTATAAATCAATACTCTAATAATCCTTATCTTCAACTACGGTGTATTAAATCACTAATTTACAATTATCACCACCAAACTTTAAGTATAATCAATTACAATTCATTGCAAATCTAGTTCTTCAACTGCATCAAACTCTATCAGATTTGACTTACAACCATTTAAACTATGGTAGTTATGGTTTAATTAGCAATTTTCAAGTTAGTAATTTGTATTTTGTTTTTAAATTACCTCAAATTTAGATTACTTATGACAACAAGAAGATGAATGTTGCTTGGCTCCTATTCTAACAGCTTTGAGAATATCTTCAACTTCAATAGCCATTGATGGTTGCTTAAAATTTAACAAACTAAATTGAAAATTGAAGTTGAGATTAAACTTTTGTCAAATTTCAACACCAAAAAATTTCACCAAATTTGAGCGTTAAATTTCCCTCTTTTTTCAATAATTGTGGATTTCATTAAAATTTTACCGCTCTTAACTCCGGCCCTTATATTTGTTATGAAGGAAGTGTTGTCAAAAAGATGGTGGATATCTATGTAGGCTTAGTCTATGTGTATCATCTCCCGATATGAAGGATATCTAGAACCAAATTACCACCGTTATACGATGAGGATAGTTATTGGACCATAATCAACAAGCATATATCATATCAATGTACTTGTATAATGAGATAAAATCCTTGACAACACATTTCTAACATAACAAGTCAGTTGTATACATGTACTTCCTCCAAAATTTTAAATGTAACGAGTATTAATCCTTTATAATGGTTTGACAATACTAAAAAATAAAAGTTTGTGAGCAATCTATTCTAAAAATGGAAATTAGTGTTGGTATCTTTATGTCTCCCTTTCGTCATTTTCTTTGGGTGGTAGACTGGTTTCTAATGGACTAAAAAGTTCAAAATGGTTTACTTTTTTACTCAAGTATCTTATTTACAACAACTTTTTTTTAACACAAAAGGGAACCCCATATATTATATTATATCTTAGAGTTACTGAAGGCAAAAGCCCTCAGAGCAAAAGAGAACCACTCAGAGTACTTATGCAAGTACAGAAAGTGATTAAGTTTTGAGTTACAAGCATATGAGCCATAGTATAAAATTAGGCTAAGAGAATTAGAGCTAATACACTGCAGCAGCTGACTAGTAGTAAGTAAGATCTTCAGAAGACTAAGGTTAGCAAAAGGAGCTACTGACTTGAACAGAAAAGACAGGAAGCTAGGGAACCATATCAGGTATTTCAGTAGCATAGAGGTCGAAGCAGTCAGCTGGAGGGTATGTAAAGGGAACACATTCTCCAGCCTTGAACTTAGTCCTTCCCATATAAGCAAGCTTATCAGCAACCAAATTGACAGATCTACTAGTATGGAAAATCTGAACAGTCCAATCCCTTTCCAAAAGGGAAGCAACATCTCGAATTAAATTGCCTAAATCACCATCCTCAAAAGACTTTGGATCCTTGAGCATCTTAGTTAGTGCATCAACATATGTCTCAAGTTCAAGAAATTTGATGTTTTTGCTCCAAGCTCTCAAAAGCCCCTCCCTGATAGCCATGAGTTCAGCTGAGGCAACAGTCATTGCATTAAATTTCATTGCATAGCCAGAGACCCAAATCCCCTTCTCACACCTCATAACACCCCTACCTCCAGCATTGTCAACATTGATCCATGAACCATCAGTGTTCAATTTGTGGTATCCCTTCTGAGGTGGAGCCCACATTCTTGAAGAATTGTTGGAAGAACAGGAAGGCCTATCTATGGTGCCCTGAGTTAAAGTCAAAGAGAAGTGATAATAAAAAAGGAACTTGTTAAATGTAGATTGGATAAGAAGCATTTTCTTCTCAAAAACTGCCATATTTCTAGCAGACCAAATATGCCAAATACCAACTGTAAAAATAATCCTCCAAGTGGAAACATTTGCAAGGTTAAAAGATAACCAATCTGAGAGGTTGCTATTGTAGAACTTCTGCAGATCAATTTTTAAATAAGCAAATTGTTTGAAAATAAGAGACCAAAAGACACAAGAGTTGGGACAGTCTCCGAAGACATGAACAGTGTCTTCTAAGTGATATTCACACCTCATACACATGGGATCAAAAAAAGGGATTCTCTTTCTGAGAATAGAACCCACGGGCAGAATTTCTCTAACAAGATTCCAGAGGAGCATCTTGTATTTATAAGGAACTCTAATTTTCCACATATTTTTCCAAGAAAAGGAAGAAAGGAAAGTAGAATTTAGGTTGTTAGGAAGGAGAGTAGAACTATAGGCTGATTTAATGGAAAAGGATCCTGATTTATCTAAAGTCCATTTTAATCTATCATTAACCTAAACAAGTTTGGGCAGAGGATAAGCAAGGATTAAAGAGCATAAATATGAAGGTAACATGTGTAAGACATCATTTAAATACCAGTCATTATTTCTAATAATATTAGAGACTCGCCAGTTCCCTTTTGAATCAGGAATAGAAACATTAGGAATTAGGTAAATAGGACAGTCACCTATCCAATGGTGATACCAAAGGGAGGTATCTTCCCCATCACCTATGTTGATAATTAATCCTTTCTTTAAAATATCTCTTCCAGCCATAATGTCTTTCCAGGTTATAGAGTCAGAAGGTTTGACAATATAATCTAGCAAGTTAGAATATTTTAAGTATGTATTAACAAGAATTTTTACCCATAATTTATGACCCTGAGTTAAAATCTTCCATCCTAATTTAGCCATAAACAAAAGGTTCCATCTACTAAGGTCTCTAATTCCTAAACCTCCCTTGGCCATCGGATCACAGACTACCTTCCAATTGGTTCTAGGAATGAATCTAGTCCTATTAACCCTGTTCCAAAGGAATTGTTTATAATGTTTTTGAAGATCAGAAAGGACAGCCTTAGGGAGAACATTGGTTTGCATACAATAAACAGGATAAGAATTCAAAACCGATTTAATAAGAGTTGATCTTCCAGCCATATTTAAAAGTTTAGCTTGCCAACCTATAATCTTAGAACAAGTCTTATCTAAAAGGGGAAATTAATAAAGAAGATTCAATCTTTTATGGGATATCATAATTGTAATACCCCGTATTTTTATGTATTTTTATAAAGTATTTAAGTATTAATAAAATGTATTGTTAAGGGCTCAAGTATTTTAATTAAATATTTTAAAGGGTTAAAATATTTTAAATATAAGGTTTTATAAAAGTAAAATATATTTTGGGCCAAACTTTTATTAATTATTGGGCAATGTAAATTATTCCTACATACTCTTATTGGAATAACCCATTCCAAAACCCATAACTTAATCCCTATCCCATAACTCAAGCCCATATTTTTATAAGCCCAAATTTAACCCTACACTCTCTACTCTATAAATATCCCATGAATCCCCAAAAAAAAATTCCCACACAAAAAGGTTAGTCTTATTTTCTTTCTCCTTTGTTTTATTAACTAGAGTGTACCCGTGCAAAATGCACGGGATATATAAGAAAAAATTTATTTAAAATATAAAAAGTTGATTTTGATGTTGTAATTTAGACTTGAGCTGTAATGGTCGGTTTTGGATTGGTCGGTTCTGTTAAACCCTAATTAGCTTTTTTAATAATCGTATTAATTATGTGATGACACCTGCTGTGCTATGCTGAAATATGATATTCAATGCTTTAATTGCTTAGAAGATCAAAAAAATAGGGTCTTACTCTTTTATGTCGGTGGTCACGCAATGCTATTTTGAAGTTAACCTTTTCAAAGTTATAGAGGTTACCCATTCAGTGTTATAGGGGTTACTCGTGTTACTTGGTTAGTGTCATATGAGTTAGTGTCTTGCTCTAGGAGTTACATACTTTGTTCTGTTGCAAGTAGTTATTCGCTGAGGCTAGTTCCACAAAAACGTGTTGTACATTTTTTTTTTTTGCTTTTGATGATTAAAGAAACGGAAAACGTTTGGAGGGTAGTCCCTAAAAAATGCATATAATTGAAGGCTTGAAGATTTATAGTACTATAGTGAATGGTTGATAACGAAACTGTATACTCGTGGTAATGCATGACATATATTATACTATGTACCAAAAAAATAGTCGTAAAACAAAGTGAAATTTTAGTACGTAGAGTTTAAAAAAAAGTGAAATGTTGGGATTTTGAGTGCTACAGTGAATTATATGTGGAGATATATATTGTATTGTAAAATAGTAAAAGTGAAAGTGAATTGTTTATTTATTTTTGTATCTAAAATTTAGAGAATTAAAAGTTATTGACAAAAAAAAAGATAAGGTAGTTATTTTCCTCCAAAAAAAAGTGGAAGTTGGAGAAGAAGTTATCAAAAAAAAAATCAAAAAAAAAAATTAGAATGCTTAGAATTGCTCCATTCAAGAATTAAAGTGTTGTAAATAAAAGTTGGAAAAAAAACTCTACAATTATATATTAGATTTGTGTAATTATAATTATTGATTTATGGGTTTTGATTTTATTGTTTGAAATTAATTTAATTAGCATCAAATTGTATTTCGATGATTAAACTTTATAATTTCATATTTTATAAATGTAATAATTTTGAGATTTTGTAAATTTTATAACCTATGATTTTTAATTATTGAAAATCATGATTTTAGGGTTTTTACGAACAATTGATTTAGGGCTTTTATAGTAATGATGTTTTGAAATTTTGGTGATTATAACTACTAATTAGTTTAACTTAATTCCAGATTATTTTGAACACGTAAATTCGTGTTTTAATTATTAGATTTCCGTTCGTTAATATTAATCCCGTTTTAATCCCGATCAGGTTCTAAACTCCTCCGATTTTGATAAAAAAAAAAGTAGTATTTTTCATGTGAAAACAACGTTCTAAGAAAGAATCACTACCTTTGGTAATGTGCACCACCCTCTCGTGCCCAAATTCAGCCTCTGAATATGATTTTTGGGCAGTTTTTGATATTTAACGAAGTTTTTTTTTTATATTTTAAATTTTATCCTTGAGTTTTAAAGGGGTAAGAGATAATTTAATGTTCCTATGGATAATTTAAGTATAAAGAAGTATTTTGATGAAGTTTTAAAGGGTTTTTGATTAGTTTAAAATGCTAGAATTTTATTTAAACTAGTATAATTGTGATTTTAATAAAAGGGTGTGATTACCCATTAAAAATGAGTTTAATTAGGGGTTTTAAAATAATTTTCAGATTATTTTAAGTTATTTAAAGTGAGTTTAAGTTGCTGGAAATTGTGTATACAATGGTAATTAATATAGTATTATTGTCCCTTTATGTAGGAGACTTAGTTCGAGAATTGTTGTAGAGTACTTGGTTATTTTAATAGCTTATTTGAGGTACGTTCGCGTACTTAGCATAATTTGATGATGTAGAATCATGCTAGGCTTGATTTCAATCAATTACAAGTAGTAACATGCTAAGGTTTATGTATGAAATTGTGAAGTATTGGTGTTGGTGATTGGATTGTGAAGCATGAATTATTCGTGATGGTTTATGGATTGGAAAATTATATTTTTGGCATGATTATATGGACTATACTTTTATTTATGGCATGATAGAATCATGTTTAATTAAACTATATGTTTAATTTGGCTTGGAATATTAAAAAGGAATTTTATTATGGTTCATATAATTTTTATTGATGCTTTAAGCATGAGGAAGGAGCTATATAAGTGTCTATGTACACGAGGAATAAATTGTATGTTGGTGCCTTTGTGCACTTAAGGTGTTTTTAACACCGAGTGATAGGATTTTTGGCGCTTTGTGCGTTTAAGGTGTCTTTGACACTGTGGTAGAATTAAAAGGGGCTCAACATTAAATAATATGTGGTCACTAATTATTCAAGAATTAAATTGGTATGTTTGGTTGATTGAATAATTATTGTTGATTGATTTATTATGCTTTGAGAGTCATCACCAAGTCTAATAACATGTAAATAACGTAAAGTGAAAGAGATTACGCACCAAAACTCTTGGAACGTATATACCTTGAGTATGAACAATGGGGGGAGTTATGGGGTTTTATATTTAACCATAACTTCTAATGGAGTACAGGACGATGTACATTCCTTCTTATTTATTATTATGCGCAGGAATTCTGCCACCTTTAAGTGGTTTTGTCGCTTGCACGGTTAGCTCCCGTGTTAGTTACACTAGTAGAAAAATTGACATGGCCAACGCTTAAAGGCCACCAGTTTTTGTAAACCGGTGGTTTAACAAATGGCCGCGCAGAAGGAAAATAGTATTGCCACCAGTTCGACTGAACCCATGGCAATAATGATCAAGGCCACCGGTTTTGAACCGGTGGCAATATTTAAAAAAATACAAAACCGCGCCCCTTCTTCTTCTCTTTCCCCATTCTCTTATTAGCTTCACTGTTTTATTTCGACCAAACCTTCGAGCCGCTGCAACAACGAAATCTAATTGCATCCAAACCCTACCACCAGTGACGCCACAGCCACCGCACCACCATCCACCACCTCCGCTGTTGAATTGACTCAGTATAAATTGCTATGCACTAACATTGATTCTAATAATGCTCTTCAATTGCCTTTAGTAACCTTTAATGATGATCTTGAAAATTTGAAAAAAGAATTGCAGGTTACTAAAGACAAAAATGAGTTCCTTGAAAAGGATCTAGAAAGAGCAAGAAACAATGAGAGTGTAATCCACATGGGAGTTCCAAAGTGGATACTTGAAGCTCAAACCAGAAGGACAGAAGGTTTGGGTTTCAACCACAAAAAGAAGAGTAGTAGTAAAAAGAAAAACTATGTGGAACTTCCTAGTGAGACTGTGTGTTCCTTCTGTGGCAAGTCAGGACACAAAGATACTGAATGCAAAAGAAAGGAACTTAAGTCCACTAAAAATATAGTTTATGTATGGCAAAAGAAAAATGAGTCTGCTGTATCAACGAAGGAACCCATGAAAGATGGGGTTCCTTAATCTAACCCTTAGTTTCTTTTGCAGGTCGTAGTGAGGGGGAACAACCAATGGTACCTCGATAGTGGTTGTTCCAAGCACATGACAGGAGATGAATCAAGATTTCTCTCACTGACGGCCTATACAGGAGGAACTGTGACCTTTGGTTATAATAAGAAAGGCAGCATTGTTGCCGTAGGAAAAGTTGGAAGGTCAAGTTCCCAAGCTATTGATAACGTTTTTTTAGTCGAGGGCCTCAAACACAGCTTATTAAGCATATCACAATTTTGTGATAAAGGAAACTCAGT